ATATTTTCTTTTATCTGGTATGGACATTTTTTAAATGTTTTTCCTGTATTAGCTTTTGTCCGAATTGTGCATTTGACATATTTACTTGATCAGTAATCACTACTCTCCAAGAAATATTTTGTTTTATTTAAATAAAAAGTTTTTATTAAATAAATGTTTTTATTTTTTAATATTATCTTTTTGCTCATTTGTTGCTACATGAATTAATTATAAACAAAAAAAAACAAACTCTCATGTATACATGAAAGCCTTGTATAGCTTAAAGTTTTTGATATTATTTCTCATATATATTCATATATGTTTCATTAAATAATATAGACAAGTGCTGTCTATATATTTTATGTAAATTCTTTATATATATATATATATATATATATATATATATATATATATATATATATAACTATAAAAGTGTGATCATTAAGTTTTATTTTTTTTTTTTAGATTATTAGAATAATCAAAATTTAAATAACAATAACTATAAATTGTCAATAATTTAAAATGACCTCTTTTTTAAAGGTTTATTTTTGAACTGTCTACTATTTCATATTGGCTTTATCACTTTACTATTTAACTTGTTTTTAAGAACCAATTTCTTTATATTATAATGTAACTTGTGTATAATATATATTCAAACAAGTTTTATTGAAATTGACAAACAATATCTTGCTATTTTTAAATTTTTATTACATTTTTCCAGTCTGCATATTAGCTGTCATACATCCAGATTAATTTTGAGCAGTTTCTTTATAAACTTGATCTTGTTGGCCGATTTCACTAAAATACATTTGAATAAATCATATACAGAGGTTTCAAACATATTTTCCAATTATTATTAAGAGCTCCTGCCTTTTTTTTTTAAGTAGTGTAGAAACTTGTGTGTGCACGCACACACACATATATATATATATATATATATATATATATATATATATATATATATATATTTAGTTTTATTTTTATTCCCCACAAAGTGTCTCTTCCAGATGACCATTATTTAAAGTTGCCTGTATATGCTAGTATACAGTCTACAGATGGTTGGCATTGTTTACTATTATGCTGGCTTCATATAGCCACTGGGGAAAGTCCAAAATATAAAATCTTGAGTAGTCAGCATATATATATATATATATATATATATATATATATATATATATATATATGAACATTAAATTTATGCAGGGATGACCATTTCTTGAAACGGAGACATTTTGTTGTTTTTAAGCAAAAATTATTATATGGTAACACCCTCTGTCAATTAATGACTGTTAGTTTTCCAGTTGAATATTTCCCTGCCCTCTATAGATTGAGATAATCAGCTGATAGTTGTCATCCTTGTTTACTGTGATAGACTCCAAGAAGGAGTCTAATCTCATTTTGAAACCTGGCATTTGACCTACAGCTGCTGTAGTGAACAGTTGTTACCTAGAATAAAAACTTTTGAATATTTTGGAAAAGGGTGTTCATAAATTGCAATTTATCAGTGTCAACATCACATTCTAGACAGGATTCTCTAAACATTATCTGTTTGTGTCTCAACAAGTTATGAATTATAAAAATTGAAGATACAGTTACAGGAAAAGAATGGAAAAGATCCTATATAAATCGGGGTTGAAAAATAACATGAAGTTTAGATTCTTTTGAAGAAAAAAGGCATGATCTTTGATTGAGTTTCAGAAAATTCTGAACATTGGCTTTGGAATTCCACTTTGCATTGTCTTTCTTTTTATCATTGCATTCATTCTTATATCTACAATAAAGAAGATTTTGGATCAAGTATGTAGATTCATTTCATACAAATGAGCAGAGTACTGGCTTAATAATCAAATGTACAATGAAATGACTTTAAGAATTTGTCAGAAATATTGAAACCTTACAAAAACCATTAAATTCATTGGAGAACCATTGGAAGCAGGGTCCATTCATACTAAATGAACCAAAGTAACCATGCATTAAAATTGATGCAGGAACTCTATTATGCCTGCAATAAGCAGTGATGTTCAACTATTATAACATTTATGGGTTATTTAGTTGTTTGTATTATGAAAAATGTATATTAAATATACAGATACATATGCAAAAATATTTTTGTTTTAGGAGTGACATTTTCTAAAAAGATATTGAAATAAAGATCCATTTCTCTGTTTTTAGGCAAAAGTTCATCAGATTATGAAACAGAAACAAGAGCTTGTAAACAAAGAAAATGATAACCCTAATGAAGTCTGTATCCTATTGAACTATTTTAGACATGGAGAATAAGGAACATTATTTTTGGCAAGCATTCATAATATTTTCTTGAAAACCTGTGATTACTATATTTTTTAATGATTTGTTTGAACCTTTAATTCCAATAATGTTAAAATATTAGAAAGAACAGTTAACCATTATATCAAAGTGATTAATTTAGGTCATATAATATTATATAACATGTCTTGCTATGTTTAAATTTTCATTTTGTGATGATTATTTAAAACATAAGGATGGGTGAAAATATTTGACTCGTTAAAATAAAAGTATGTAAGATTGAATATGTGGAAGCCAGTTGAATGTATAAATTATTTGCTTGTTTACATTTTGCTTCATTTCGCATGAACATTATGAAAACAACTGAAAAAAAAAATCTAAGGAAAAGTTGTTACCATAGCAACATTTCTACTTAAAACACTAGTTAATTTTGAAGCTATATCATTTACAATAATACACAGTTAATAAATCAAAAAATAAAAATAATTAGTTTAAAAAATGTATTGAACAAAAAAGATCTATAAAGATTGGGGATACATTAAATTCTTTATTCTTTCATATTTTAAATACAAATCTTTCTTTTGATTTTAAAAATGCCAAAATCATTAAATTTATCTAATACATCAGCTGACTTGGAAGATTCAGAATTTGATCTACATGTTGTTTCTTCACACTTGCACACACTTCTGTACAAGAACAAGATCATCAACACTAAATTTACACAAAATATTTAAATTCTTTTTCTTTCATTCTATATTATATTGACCCCCTCAATGTGATGTATTTGGCTTTAGTAGATGTTTATAACTGATGTTTAAAGAACAGTTCATCAGGATAAACTCTGGTTGTTGATTTCCAAGTAGTTCTAAATAAGAACTTGTTGACCTTAGTTTCCATCCACCTTTACTTTCTTTATTGCCTCTTTGAATGTGTGAATCTTGCATTCAGCTTGGACATTTCAGGATAGGTGGTCCACAGTTGTAAATATATGCCAAATTACATTCAAGTTTTATAAACAACTTGAACTTTTCACTGTGATAATATGATTACTAATATCAAACAGGCCAACCATACATGATGATTACTCTCAATTTCTTGATTGTGACTGAAGTAACAGATGACTTTGTTGACATGCACAGTTCATTTCAAGTACATAACAACAACAATCAAGAATATGTCCCATGAATGGTCCAGCAAAATCCATAATTTTTAACAATATCAACAAAAATATTACTAGTCTTATTCTTTTACATCATTGGCAAGAACAAAATCTTTAAGAGCTCTCATTCCTCCATTTATCCTTTTCACTGTTTCACTTCATTATAGATTCAAAGAATAATGTCTTGTCATTGACTGAAATCAAGTTTCTGTATTTGTTCCTTTTGTCTTTTTTCTTATAGACATCTTTATATATAAAGAAATGCTTCACAGTGGGCTCACAGGATTTAGCTAAGTGAACATTTGTAGTTTTTTAAGCACCCTGAATGATTTTCCACTCAATTATGAAACTGTATTAATGTTATTTGTACTTAAGAGGAAGATTAACAAAACTTGCAAATTCAAAAATAGAAATCCTGGTCTGTAGTGAAGAGCTAAAATTCTAGAATAGAGCTTGAATTTTGTATTTAATTCATTTAGACTTTTTTTTTCTTTACAGTGATAAAAATATATTCAGCTCCCCCATAAAAAAACATGAATAGGAGTCTAGATCATGATTTTCTGATAAATACAAAGTTATGTTGAAAACTGATATTTAGTCTGATATTTATATAGTGCCAAAAGGGAATAATGATCAATTTAATGTATGACAAGAACTAAGTATGTTTTAAATATCTTCCTGAGATCAATTTTTTTATATCTTGCAAATTTAAATTGTTTTAAAATTTTTAAACTTGTCTTTTAGGCAAAATATGACAAAAAAATTAATTTTTTAAATTTTGTTATAGGGCCCTAAAATCCATTTGATATGTTTTTTGAAAAAAAAAAAAAAAAATTAAAGTAAAAACCTGTCTGTCATTTATAACCTTCAACAAGATTCCAATTACTTTCCTCCCTCACACCCCCACATGCAGAAAAGCAACTAGCCAAAACTGATCATGTAAAAAAAAAAAAAAAAAAATTAAAAACCTGTGTGGGTTTTGATTAACTTCAAACAATCATAACTTAACAAATACTTGGAGTTAGGTCAAAGTTAGATCAATTCTGAAATCCTGAGACTGTCTACTTTCAGACTAGATATATCCCATATTACTTGGGCTAATGTTTAAAATGTCAACTTGTGAGCTCACTATGTGCCTGAGGAGCATAAGTTTGTTCTCTTTCCTAAAAGGGCTCTAACAAAACTAAGAACAAATAAGTTAATCTGTAACACAATAATTAGGTTTTACACTATAGTTCCTGTGTTTTACATATAAATTATAATGTAATTCAAATCACTATCTAACAGTGTCTAACCATTATACCAATTTGGCAAATCTATCCATTGGTTCTTTAATCCAGTCAATGGGGTGATAAATTTCTTCAAAGTTTCAATTTCATAATCAAATATGCCAGAGGTTAATGTTTAAGGATTTTAAATGCTGATTTTCAAGGACAGGAAATCTTTCCCTAATACATTTTTTCTAACCAGCTATTTGTGCCTCTTTAGTCTTATGCCATATGTAACAAATCTTAGTAAATATGAAGTTTTAACTCCAAATTTCTATAGATTATTTAAATGTTGTTTTTGTTTTTTTTGTTTTGTTTTGTTTTTGCAGGATGAAATGCTTCACATATTCCAACAAACAGTAACTGGGAAATCTCCAGGTTAGTAGTAATAAAATTGATCAGTGTGTATGAATATCACTTTTGGAATTGTCATCCAACATTGAGAGCAGGAGAACAGTCAAAGGTGTTTTCACTAAAAAATTTCTTCCATATTTTGATTATTGTATATGTACTATTTTTGTGGTGTTGATGATTGTTTGGTTTGTAATTGTACTTTTTTTTTCTTTTTAATTGATTTTTTGGGGAAGAAATTGGCTTTCTAAGTTTGTTATAATTATATTTTTAGAAGACTCATGATTGTTCTGAATTCTTAAAATTTTCTAATTGGGAAAACAAACTTCAAGGTCATTTTTTTTATAATGGTTGATTTGGGAAGGATGGCTATCAAAAGTAGCTACTTTGACACAAATTAATAATTCACAAGTAAGATGTGTAAAATGAAAATGTTTACAATTAATGTTAACCTGTTACTCATCTCCATAATCCTCTCTAGGGAATATTTGCTTATACCAGAATTATTAAATGGGAGACTTTACCCACACTTTCTTTTCTTATGTGTTATGTTATTCTTAATGTTCTCTGTATAGCACAGGAAAGCTTTCTTTGATAGTATCATTACAAATGATACCAATCATAACTAATCAGATTTTACTAATGATACCAATATAAAGGAAATAGATAAATTCCATTGCTTTGTCAATTAACAGTAAAAGTATATTTAATAAAACTCATTGAAAGATCAATATTCAAAATTAATATAGATATTTTAGATTTAATAATGTTTTGGATATGGATGCAATTATGATGAATATTTCTCTTTAATTTCTTGAAATCTATTAAATTAAGGAATGTAATTACCTATTTCAGTAAAAAGTCCTCACAGATTTAATGCTAAATTTAATTATTCCAAAATTTTTGAAATGAGGAACTCATGATTATTATATGCCTTACTGTTCAGGTCAGTATACTCAACCTGATTACTAATGTTTTAAATAAAAGCCTATCATTGCACTTGGTAACCATCTCAGAATTTTTGGACCAGACCCTTTATTCAATCCACAGAATGTTCTCCTTTCTAGGCTTGCTTGATTTCATATCAGTTGATACTCACCAGTTTTATCTACTTTTAGTTAGTATCACATGTTCATTTCTTCCCCCCCAAAAAATAGTATTATCAGGTCCAGGCATTGAACTCTTTTTACAACTGCCAGGGATACAGATATGTTTTAATCAACACTTTAATCCACTAGGATTAATCTATGCATCTCTTGGACAATCCAGTAATGTAATTTTGGAGTCTTAAACTTTCTCGACTCAGGTGGTGTGATTGTATGTGTCCTTAATCAGAAGCTTCCAGATGGTGTTCATCTCTATGCTAGGTTTACTGAGGATGTTGTTAGTGCCTGTCACATGGACTGACTTTTGTCTTATCTTCCATAGTTGTTCTGTTATCTTGATCATTCAACAGAAACTGAAAACTACACTTTTTCCTTCATATATGATCAGCCATGCCTGATATTAATGTCACTCCATGTATTATAGTTCCTTGACTCTTACTTGTAGGAGCCAGTTGTTTCTCCCCTGTGTTCTTTGCCACAACTGCATGAAATTGAATACACACAGTTCTTAATTGTTTTCTTCCAATGAGGGCTTGAAATATCTGATGGGTTCAGCTACTTTTGAATCCTATCCTGTTATATGGATATGGCAGACATATCATGACACATTTTTTTTATTACTGTCCTTGAATCTTCTGTTATTGCTTGTCGAAGCTGATGTTATACTTGTAGTGTAATTATCTTGAAGGGTGCTACTAATGCTGATCATCTTCTGTTGGTATGTATCTAGGTCATCACTGATCCAGAACAATTTCTCTGTGGATTGAATAAAGAGTTCAGCTTAAAAATTCTAAGATGATTTCTTAATACAGAACCTGAACAAGGCCAGAGAGTACAACTAAAAAATGAGTATAATAAACAAGATCAGCATACTAATCTCTAATTATTCTGAAAGTTACTTTGACTTCATTACTCATTTATCTATATTCAGTTAGAATTGTTTTTAATTGTTTTTATGTATACAGGTTTTATTTTTTCACAGTGATTTTGTTTTTAAGCCATTTAATTTTTGAATTGGCCGTGAACAAATTTAATAAATTTGAAAGATTATATGACTCCTCCATAAAAACCGATTGAAAATAAGCGTTTTCTTGAACAAAATTTTTCTTAAAAAAAAATTAGCAACCATTTTACATATTAATATGTAACGTTATTACGGATTTTACTTTAAGATGAAATGTTAATGGCCATGATTTGAAATTACTTTATTTACTGAGTATTTACCTATGAATCTTTCTAGCAAAGACACTGAAATATATCAGTTTTGTTTCTACATTAGCATTTCTTGTTAAAAGTTAATGTTTAAGCAAGAACAAAAGTAATAACCAATATTAATTTGTCAGTACATCAAATAAAAAGTTTATCAATAAGTGAATTATGAACTCTTTTCATTGTTTATATAAAAAATTCAATTGCAATCTGAATTTTATTTATATATTTCATTGAAGAATAATTGTTTTTATTAATTAGCAAAACCAATCATGATTTTTTTTTTTTTTTCTGGTAAATTCTCAGACAAAATTCAAATGGTTCATATTACATGTAATTTCTTTTGTAATATTTGATATATTCAAATTCCAAAATGTATTACATATGGAAACTATGTTGCTAAAATGTTGATTTCTACTTGTTTTCCTAAATTGTGCAATGGTGTTATCCTGTGATCTTTGTATTTAATTAGCAGTAAGAAAGAGGCATGAGACAAGGATGCATATTTTCCCCAGATGTATCCCACCTCTACAGTGATGTCATCATAAAGGATTTATTATCAGCAGGTGTAATCTTAATATAAGATACACAGATGACACTGTATTGATGTCTGACTTGGAAAGAAAACTACCTCCTAAAAGGGGTATTAGAAGAAAGCAAGAAAAAAGGACTAACCATCAGTTGCAAGAAGACAGAAAGTATGGGTCATCAGCAAGAGAAAAAGCCCAAGATGCAAGTTACAAATTGTAGATATTAACATCAAGCAGGTGCAGAAGTTGAAATATTTGGAAAGTGTTTTAACAGAGGATGGAAAATGTGACACTACTAAGTTCCAAATATACATTGAACTAGTGAAAGTAGCATTCAAAAAGTTAAGCAAGGTGCTGAAAAACAGAAAAATTTCATTAGAAACAAAGAAAAGGGTGCTGGATTACTGTGTTATCCATCCTCTTATATGGCAATAAATACTGGACAATCTCTCCATGGATGAGGAGAAAACTACATGCAGCATAAATGTAGTTCTGTAGAAGGATACTAAAAGTTCCATGGATGGACCTAGTAAGCAACAAGGAAGTCTTAAAGAAAATGGTAACAAGTAGAATACTTTGACTGAGAATCAGAAAAAGAGAGCTGAAATTCTTTGGAGCATATTGAGAGCAAGAGAGAGAGGGGGAGGGAGGCAGTGACAGGCTTGTGTGAATGAATGGTGAAACACAGGATCCTTAGAAAAGGGAGAAAAGCTGCTAAGAGCCACAAGTTGTGGAGTCATGAATGCCAGTGATGTGGCACAAAGAAGAAAAGCGAATAAAAATCCTCTTCCCAATCTTGTCTGAGAGAGGGAAATGTGTAACCTTAACATGTCGAATTGTTTATTTATATTATCCTAATAAAGAAATTAATGAAAAGTAACCTGTTTCTAAGAATTAAGGATAAACCCACAAAAAATAATTTTTATGTTAACATGAAAGAAATTTCTTTGAAGTAATTTAAAAAATTAAGGCAAATGTGTCAAATTCAGATTTTTAATTTGAGTAGTTTCTGTTTGCTTGAGAACATTTTAAGACATAATATGGTTAAGTTTTCTACAATAGATTTTTTTAAGGTTACAATATTGCATGGAAAACTTTGAATATATATGAATTCTACAATTGTCATTATCTAGTGTTAATGGAGTAACATTTAGCCATCTTAAATGTGAATATGTTTAAGGCACACACAGTATGATGAAGGGGTGCTGATAAGTTCTCAGTTCAACTCACTTTCCAAAATCTAAATAAAAGATCTAATATAACTTTTTAAGGGCTTCTCCTGTTCAGGAATTTTCAGCACAATCTCCTAGTAACATGGATTTGTAACTTTATTTTCTTAAGCCCCACCTCACAAGCTGTTTAATTTTTGTCAGAAATTTTCAGGTGAGGGCTTATTATTACCTTATGTTTTCAAGTTATCATGCTCATCTTAGTTGTTCTACTCAAAATGTTTTGACCATAATACTTTTCAGCCTTATTTATGTGTCTGTCTATATTTAATAACCTTCTTGGAATTTTAACTAATCCCTTATTTAATCCACACACTGATTCAGAAGTGAAAATGATTAGCAATTTTTTAGATATTAAATCAGAAGTTTTATTTCATGACAGCAAGAACTCAAGGTGACTCTTAGTCAGGTAGTGAATTACTAGCTTTTAGTAATGCTGTTTTTTATTCAGAGAATGAATGCAACTATATTTTCAATGCTCAATAATGGTGCAAAATGAATTGTGAACCCACTGATTATGACTCTTTTCATGCTTTCTGTTTTAGTGGTGCTGTAGGTGTGGGAACCAAATTATCAGTGCTGAAATGATTTCTTTGGATTTTTTCAATCTCTCTTTTGATGAAGAACTGTTAGATTGTATTTATGAATAAACCAACAAATTTGCCGCACAAACAGGTTTTATGAATTGGAAAAACCCTTGCTTGTTTTTACATTGAAAGATTATTAGTGAATGAAATATTGTGGGTAATACCTGGTTTTCACAAAAAGAAAAACCTGTTTTGCTTGGGTGTATTGTGTATTTTAAATAGAAAGAAATTAGTTCCAAATTGAAACAGTATTGAATGAATTAACAAAACCTCTATATCAAATTAAAAAGAAAAATTCATTGAAATATTTTAATATTCACACATTTATTTCTTGGATATTATGATATTTGTTTAGAAGGTTTGTAG